CGCCCGTTTACCTTCCAGCATTCACCTAACAGCTGAATCTGGTAACCTACAAACTAGGAAACACGGAAGGTTTGGTTGATTAAAATGTTTGGTAAATTCAAAAGTGGGCTTGAAATTTATTTGGATGCAGAGTATTCTCACAGAGTATTTACATAAATTATTTGCTTTAAAAACAGTTGTGTAGAATATAACAGTCGTAATAATGCGTGATAATTAAAATTTTTAATGAAATATTTTCAATAAAGAAGCTGATTCAGCTTCATGAAGTCAGCGATATTTGGAAATTATGAAGAATTGACCAACTGGTAAGGAATAATTCAATTTTAAGCCTGCACAGCGTCCGATTCAGAATATTAATCAGTCTCCGAATGGTGCATGTGTTGCTGTAGGAGAATACATGGTTGCTCGTAATCTTCTAAGGATATTTTGTATTCTTCTCGGAGAGTTCCGTATGACTTAACGATAATATTGGCCTCTACTTCTAGGCATTTTATCGACAACATCTTTGAGTGCAGCATCACTCATTTGAGCAAATGATTTCAAGCGAATGCATTGCATCGTTAAGGACCTTCGTCAGATCATTCCGCTGCTAGTGATATATCGAAAGCACCGAAGATAGTGTCATTACCTGAACAATTAGGTTCGATTGTATCCATGCTTCTTCCCTTTGCGAATTAATTGAATATTATGGCATCATGTGATGAACAACTTATATTCTAGTATGATTCTACCTGTTTGTTCGTGTTTCTTTTCGCTGTTAAAGAAAATAACATGTTTCTTCATGGTATTCGGAGCGTAATTGATTTCTTGTTGTATTTAGGTGTTAACAATCGTTAAGGTACCGAGAAAAGAGTATTATCTATCAAATACAGTTTTGATTGAATGTATGATGTGAAAAGAGATGAAAGGAATGCGAAAAAGTCCTCAAGAGAACGTTTTTTGCATAAAGCCATGAGAGCGACCATAACAGCCCTGAAAACAATGAGAGTCCATCTGAAACAGGTTGAATTGAACACCTCCTAGACAACATCGATTTATTCGTCAGATCTCACTTAACAATAATCGATTGTGATACATGGTACCACAAAGATCTACGATTCAGGAAACTATCAGATCCGATTCCAAGGATCCTTCGCCTAACTGCATCAGAGGTTTCCTTGATAGAAAAGACTGCCCCATGTTCTAACTTTATTGCAACAGTATCATTATTACAATGATAGTATTGTAATGAATACGATCATCATTATTACAATATTCTTTTATCAGCCGTGTATAATGGAATCACCATGTTTAACTTAAATGCATGAGTTACCCGTCCGATCATCTGAATCAGGTTGAATTACTCCTTATATTCTATTGAACACTGTAAAAACGACTGAATTTTTTTGGTTGAAACGAACATGAGATGTGGTCTGTGCTTCCCATTTTGTTGGCTTAACGAATCTTATCATTTACAATCGTTTGGCATACTTCTCGTTTCGATCATCCATCATTTTATTGTTAACGAGATATTATGATATTTCCAATGACTTGTTTGTAACTCTTCTGAGCAATAAGAATCTTATCTGATGAATTCTTTATGTGCACTGCGGAACCGAAGGCGTTTTCAAGGAATTTATTTCAATAATAATCATTGATATCAACTGCGACAAATAGTAGAACATCCATAAAGTGCAATCATGTACAACAATGTAAACAAAACAATGCTAAATATTTACAAGCAAAGAATTTTCCAAACGGAAGTGTATTGCATATGAATGAATCTTATCATATTCACTTTCCACGCATTCATTCATGAATTGCGAGTAAAACTTCCATTATAAACCTTTCAAAACAAAATTTTTTAGTTACATAACGAAATTTCGCAGTAAGAAAATTACATAGCCAATAGAAATCTTAAAAACAAANCCTGCAACGATAGCTGAGCATGAAATAAAAACACATGTCGCTTGGTAACCGAAAAAACAGTCTATTAATGCAAATTCGATGAAATCAAGATGCTTGCTTAGTTCCGTATGAAAAGACTACGTTTACAATTATGCCCATAAAACTGAGTAATATTCATGGCTCAACAATTCCTTCCTGCATCGCTTCGCTGACTCGTTTTGTGCGCCGCATTCACACAGAATTTCAACTGAACTAAAGTTGTTGTGTTGACGACTGAATGGAGTTTAGATTCTAAGGATAATTACGAATAGCAGTCAATTTGTTTTGATTGACTGAAGCAGCAAAATAATGAGAATGAGAAAAGCAGTAAAATAAAACGGAAAATTAGTAAAGAGGACTGAGAGCAGTAGGCAAAATGAGAATCAGGCACAGACAACAAAGATACACCATTGGGGAAGAGGTGTGCAGTGGAACATAAAATGCTGACAAAGCTTCGGAATGAATACTGCTTTCGTTAAAGCCTTCTTCCCCTACTCTGTTCGTTTCTCTTTTCAGTCAGTAAGTTTCATTATGTCGCCATACTCTCAGACCATTATTCCACTGATTACATTACGTTTCAATAGCGCTATGCTAGTTTTCTATTGGTGTGCGTTATTCAATCGCTCTCATTCGTATTTCTCCAACGAACCTCTTTACATTTATTGCGTTGTATGTTCTGTGCAGTTGAATTTTCAGTGGAAATGCTTTTTGCAAAATGATTTATCATTATGCGTTGACAATGTCTTTAGCAGGCGTTCTCGCCGAAAAACTTCTCTCTTGGAACATCCCAAACCATACCTATCTATTTGGTTCGATAATATTTTGAGCAATTGTTCAACCTAAAACTGCAATGATTCGGCACCGATTTTTTCCTTATCAGTTGCTTTGGTTCGCTTTCTATCACTTGTAAGTGATCTCTGCTTTTGCTTTNCGCAAATGATTTTGTTTGGGTATTTGTTTCGTATTCATAATAGGATCAAACATTTTTGCTTTCAAAATCTCTCTTTGATAATACGGAATGGTCGTTGGTTTTATTCCGAGTGACTTTCATGTTGTTTATTCGGATGATTTAATCGGCGTATCTTGTGAATTATTGATGCAAAATAATCGATCATTTTTATAATCACGTTTGAGGTGATCGTTCGCTGAAATTCAGCAATCAACACTCAACAGTATGGGCTACAAGCTGACCTATTTCGCGATTCGAGGTCTGTTTATTGTTCTTTACGACGTTTCTAGTCTCATTTTTGCGAATGCTTTCATGATTTGAACCATTCATATGGGTACTTTATATACATTGATCACACCAAAGTGGAAAAACTCCAGGTTTGGCTGAACCAATTCGTCTTCTTTTCACCGATCAGAATATTGTCTTCGATGATGCACTGATCAAAGACCGAGATGCATGGCCTGCAATGAAGGCACAGTTCGTGAGTTTTACTGTTGTTATCACTGATATTATAGCGTTATCATTGCTATCATTATTATTATTTTTGTTATGGTTATATTTGTCATTACTCTTACTTCGTGTCTGTTTGTTGTTCTTTTATTTGTTCGATTACCTAACGTTAGTAATTGTTGATCACTATTACAAGTTGATGTATGACTCCCCTGATTGTCATCACCACATTTCACCCGTATTATCTGTTTACTTTACAACATGAGTTTTTCTACTTTGAAACCCATGTCCAGGCGACTAACCTTTCGAGTATCAGTTACTGTGAAGGTGATTATGACCGTTATGAATTTTCCATGTGATCAAAACAAAATTTTCGCCATCCTTCTGGTTTATTGGTTCCACTCAACTACAGTGTTTTTCTACTGAATTTAGCAATTCGGACAAGTCCCGTGCCTCCACGATGACGACGAACAGATCGTACAGTCTGGCGCTATCATCCGTCATATTGCCCGGAAACATAGTCAGATTTTTTCAAATGCATTGTCCACTCTTTTGTTTTGTATCCTTTCTAAAGCATAACGATTTCATTAGTCACGTATTCAATCGGTAAATCTGATATGAAAGTTCTGGTTTTCTGTGAATCTCTTATGGAGAATCTGGGAGGATGTATTTTTTGAACTATTATGATTCTGTTGGGACAATTGATGGTTATTATTCCAAGCTTATTGAATATGCGGGTGTAAGTAATTTGTTAACATACGATTTGAGATCTGTATGGGGCGAATGAAAATGAGATGACTTATGCGGATATGTTCTATGAAGGTATTCGAGATCTACATTCCAAGTACACGACCATGATCTATACTGCTTACGTTAGTGCATTTCATCGTTTTAGAACACTTGTTTTACGATAAGACAATGTTGATGCTATATTTTATCATACATACATATGTTAGAAAAAGTTTCTTATCTATAAAGTACACTTCGAATCGATTATGAAGATATGTTAGGTATAATATCAGTCGCTAATTCATGAACGAAGTGAATGGAGTTTCCAATATTCGAGGAACAACCTCAAATTCATTCTGCGAATTTTTTAGCTAAATACTTCAAACTGAATCGATATTACAGGAAGTTTTTGAATAATCATTTAAATTGTTCTTCTCTTATAGGAAACTCAGAAAGACAAATTCATCAAAGAGACGCTTCCAGTTGAGTTGGCCAAATTCGACAAACTTTTGCAAACCCGTGGAGGTGGATCGGCATACATCCTTGGTGATAAGGTAAGGTTTTTTTTGGATTTGGAGAAATCTATGATGGTATTTATAAGTTAATTGCTTCGTTCGTTCATGTCCCTCTGGTCGGTTTTCTAACTGAATTAATTCAGATATGTTTCGTCGACTACGCATTCTTTGAAGAGATCGATATCATGATCATATTGGATCCGCATGCCCTCGACAAGTTCCCAACAATCAAGGCGTATCATCAAAGAATGCACGATCGTCCTCGTATCAAAGTATCTTTCACAAATAATATTTTCCTCTGCCTTCCTTGCATAGCCTTACGGATTAATATCATAGCTTTTTATTTGTAGAAGAACGGATATCTTTGAAGAGTGCAAATATTGCAACACGGTAGGATTTAACAAGTTAATCATACGTTTTTGCAGGCGTACTACCAGAAACGTATCGACATGAAGGTGCCCGTGAATGGCAACGGGAAACAATAAGGAAGATGTGTTGTGAATTTTGTTTGATCGAAATTCATAGTTTCGGTCTCTATACTGTTAAAAGTTTCGTGTTTTATATAAAATGTTGCATCTTTTTGCACGATTTCCGTAATTCTCTAGTGCAATTTTTTATTGATATTATATGATGGCATGGTATTATAAGTTTGACTCATGCTGTATAATTGTTTTCGGGGCATTCATATAGTTCACTTAATTGGATAAATTTGGTATTTGAAGTAATATTATGAATGTGATGATACACTGAAAACATTATACAGCGTCGAATAATTTGCGAATGTTGATTAGAAGAAACTGATGCAGGTAATTGAGAACATCATCATATAATAAGCCGTCAGATGAGAGAGCTGAGAAGGACGGTTCCATTAAACTTAACAGTTTTGAAAGATTCTGCTTCGGTCAGTTTTCATGGTAACATTCTTGA